CTGAGAAAAAAAAAGTCCTACTCAGTCAACATTTTAAAGTAAGACCCCAATTAGCGAAAGAGCCGAATAATAACGTCGGCTAAGTTATATTGTCGCGTGCTTGACCGAGAAAGATGATTTTTCGTACATCTAGATGATTGTGTTTACTCTAGCCCTAAGTGTAAAAGATAAGGAGGCAAGAATGGCTTTTCCTAGTCAGTCTCGAACATTCTCTATCGAATGTCCGAGATGTCGTGTGTAGTAGATAAGACTAGATAAGGAGTCGGGCGTGTGCTTTGCCGACTCAGATACTCTCGGCGACCAGACAGATTCACTTTCGGTCCAGCCAAAGCCGCGACGTACGCTGCAGCTGTTTCGACGCGTTCCTGGTTTTGTTTCTGTCACAAGTTCGCCGATTAAACATATATTTTCAGTTTACGCTCGTCGAGCCTTTTCGATGCGTGATGTTTCTGGTAAAAGTGCGGGGTAGCAGGGAAAACGGTCGTTTTCGGTCACGCACGCGGCAATACTTGCATATGTTCCGGAGTGTTCGTTTTGTAACACAAATGTGCAGTGAAGAACTGTGCTGCCGCAAATCCTTGAAACGTGTCCTGGCCTGTACTTCGACCTTGATACACTTCGCGTCGCCGTCATATACGTGATTCGGCTGAACAGTGTTTTAACCTTCTGAAATATTGCGGAAGGGGCTCCACGGGAAGGCGTTTGCGGTCTCGCGCACCTGGAGCGTCGACCAGTGCTGTGTACGGGCACTCTCGCTTCCGAAATTCCACGGAGAGTTGACCCCAAGAATAGAAGTTACGTCAATCGTCACCAACTTTATTCAACGCAGGCGCAGAATCCCTCAGAAAAAAGCACTGAACCCGCGAAGCCATCTTGCCGTCTGCAAGCAAGGCAAAGGCGGTTATGAAACTTTATTATGGGCTTTTGTCATCGTTTTATGGAACTGAAATAATAGAAAAAGTCTTAATGATTAGGTATTGAGATGACAAATTGCTTCCTAAAGATTATTAACTTTTATGAGACAATTTTTGACCTCCCGTCGAGCCCCTATACATTTGTCGATAACAACTGCTCTACCAACGGTTTGTTTGGAGCGGAGCGTCATGTTGGGACGTCAAACACTTATGGGGTCAATTTTTGACCGGCGCTCAAGTCTATCACGTAGAGCTTGCATTCTTTCTGGAGCTTCCTATGCGCTCTAAAAGTTATTTATTAGACTTTTTTGCACTTAAAACGTAGATTGATGAGTAACTTTGAGAGACCATTGGAAGCTCCCGAAAGAGCGCAAGCATCACGGGAGTACGGGTGTCTCACGTGACTGCTAGTTGCCGCTTTTCCGCGGGCTCCAGCGGGCGCCGACTACAAATTCGTTTCGCGCCGTAAATATAGCTGAAACTTTTTCCTTTTGTTTTTTTGTGAATTAATTTCATGACATTTTTTTTTATCCAGGTTGTTTAATATTTTCCTTTGCTTATATTATTTGCGGGTCAACGCAGTATAGACGATGTGCAGCAGCTGCGCCTGGGCGCCGCCATAACTGACTATCAGTTTGTGTTTCCCCTTATCTTGATCGCTTCGCTTCATTATTACCACAGCAGGATAAGTTACTGCCTTTTTAGATTCGACTGTGCTTTCCTGCAGAGCATTGGTCTTTGTGAATGGTTCGTCAACACCCGCTTCAGTGATTTGGTATCTCGATAAGACAAGAGAAGGTTAGAAATGGCGGCGATAAAGTGGCACGTGTGCAAAGCGTCGATAAGTATAGACTGGAGACGAGTCTGGCCAACGAGCGTGACCGGCTTGACAGCTCGTCCACTGCGTCACTGACACGTCACGCGAATGCCGTGGCCACGCCCCACTTCGCCATTTTCGAGCCAAACCGGCATCGGGGCGCTATATTGTGCGCTTGGATCTCCGTTCTATCCAGCCTATGACTGTTCTATTTTGTTAAAAAGTAGTATTCATGCTGTCTTCTGTTTATTCAGGAACTACAGTATGGTATTTTCCGGATACCTTGTCAATTATTCCTCCGTAAGCGCGGCGGCCCCAGCCCCCTCATACGCGTCACATGCGCTGTGTGGGTCGTGCTAATTTGGATTATTTAAGTTCTGATTTTTTTTTCGAGCGATGCACGACCAGAACTTCAGCGCTCTTGTCTGTCTTGTCTTTCTTTCTTTTATCCTCGTCCAGAAACGCGCTACCATGCCTTTGCCAACCCAAGACGAATACCAACTAGCTCAGCATTCAGCTTTGATAAGTCACAACTTGTAATATGTAGCTGACGAACTATCGGTAGAACTTTCGGGTTAGGAAGCGTAGACAGGTGGCTAATGTTTTACAGAATGCCACCATCATACGAGGTCATTTGGAATGCATCCGTGTTTTCTTCGAAAATTGTAGGTTATGATATTAAATGAGCTAAAGCCTTTCATTCGAGATGTTAGTTTTTCGAAACTTTGTTCTTTATTTAACGAACTGTTTTATTGTACGTCAGCTTGTAAAATGAGATGGCCTGCTCGAGGCGATACTCCTGCTGTGGGTGATTGACCCGTGTGCTTGCCTGCCTCGAGCATGAACTGAGCTCTTATATCAATGAGCCATCACTCTTTTTAAGTGGAAAATTTCGAGGAAGCCGAAAGCTTAGAAAATCCCCTTTGAGTAATTCAGTGTTAGACAAAACATAAGCTAGGTCGTTTTGAAATAATAAATATAAGTGCAGTTGGATTGGTCGTTCGTAACAGTGTCGAGAATCCAGCATCTGTCATCGTTTCATTGGATAAAATGAGCGAGAAAAAACAAACGAAACAAAAACTAGCTTTTTTATACATAAACAAAACTTATTGGAAGGAACCAAAGTTTAATTTTATTCACCTAATGGTTCGAAAGGAAGGCGAGGAAAATAACTTCCACAGCATGTAGCATAGTACATCCCTATCTTCCGCTGCATATAGTCGCATTATGGTCTTGACCACGGCAGTATCAGCATCATAGCTTCTTGAGCAACAAGCTTGTTCTAGATTAGAGTGTGTGCCACGAGATCGAAGCTGCTGACCGTTATTCAGAAACCCGCACCCGTCTGATCACGACTCTAACGACAGCTGTATTCTAAAAATAAAAAAAAAAAACTGAAGTCAAAACAAGCATTCTTATTTTTATGAGCCGGAAGCCTGCTATGAGCGTTCACTTTATTTTCTTCAACTATACATTTTGAATACTCTTTGTTTTGGGGGTCATTAAGAAAGCGAGAGCCTTTACTGCTGTGGTCGAAGAATTCAACGGCACAACAACCAAGCCTCTTTTAACGAGAAAACCTAGAAAATTGAGATGAACACGCCGAATTACAGGCGGCCCTGCGTGCGCGCGCATGTGGTGCGGGATCTGTGATGGCGGACAGACGTGGGTCCATCGCACAACATTCCGCGTTGCTAGGCGGTTGCTTGGCGCGGCGTCGCTTCCGTGGGAGGAGCCAAAGGGAAGCAAAACGTCACCGCGGACACTAAATGGCTAAAATCTTCCCATTTTTATGGCTCTGTGTGGGCATGTGAGGCTGCGCCATCTCACGGCGTTTGTCAGATATAGAGTGAATCTTCTACGCACTTGCTACGTCGCGAGGCGATGTCCATCCAGACGCCTCTCTCTTCCCCCACCGTGGCCAGGGCTCCGTAGCAGCCATGGCCACGGTGGAAGAAGAGAGAGGCGAGCTTATCGAGAGCGTGAGAAATGGCAGAAGCAGTACGAAGAGCCTTAACCAGAGACCTCGCAAACGAACGCTAATAAGTCTTAGACTTTTCACACATTCTGTGCTTGCCAGTCTTTGTCAGCGTGATCAAGATTATATAAGTTTTTTTTTTTTTTTTGGAACGCGGTAATTTTGTAAATTCTTGGGTAATATGAGCTGAAACACACTGGGCCCACACTTCCTACAAAATTCTGGGCCCACACTTCCTACAAAATTCATTATCTCTGAAATTAAGAAGAAAAAAAAAAGAAATATAGCTTTAAATATTTAGTTCTCGACTTCGCGTTTTAAGTCAAGTTTGAAAAAAAAGCCTCTTTAAAAGCTTACAGGAAAGCCGAAGAGGCGTAGTAGGCTGTTTCAGCTCATATTTTCTGCGGTAGTAGAGGCCTTATATCTTTCTAAAATGAATGGACTTAGTGGTTTTTCATGATTTTCAGATAGCTTCTAATTAGAACCGTGTTTCTTTTCAATAGCTAGAACTATTTGGAAAAGTTAAGTTAATTATTTCCATAAATTGTACGTCTTTTTGCCACTGCCGAAATCCGCCGTGGCTGGCTGCTTGAAGAGGCTTTTTCCGCAACCTCTCTAGTATTGGTGATTTTTGGAGGTCTTCGCTGAAACACTCGGCATAGAATGTTTGTCGCGCGATCTCGTATGTGGTGAACTTCGTTAGCAGTCTCGGCGGCGACTTTCAATGACGTATATTGTGTCTTATATATGCCAACCAGACATCGTAGTAATTTTCTATTTAAGTATGACTATAAGATTTTGACGAGCGTGTTTTAACAGATGTAAGAGTAAGAATGCACAAGATGAGCAGGAGGACGAAAACAGACATGTACAAGCTTGTGCACGTCTGTTTTCGTCCTTTTTCTCGTTTTGTGCTTTCTTATTCTTACAAGTATGCCTAGTTGCTGAATTTCCTAAATCAATAATGCGCCTTAAATGATTGCAATAAACTATACCTTGGTACTTTTATTTTAGTTGCAAGACAGATTTTTCCCGTGGTGGAGGATGCGTCTTGGAGGAGTTTATTACGTTGAAGCACTTCTCTTTTACAAGCTTTTCTCTTTCGCCCACACGCTTTTAATGTAAGTTAGGATAAAAAAAAAACACTTGTCGAAGCTTTTTCGAACACATGTGCGGAGTTTTAAGTACTATGTGGGCTGCCGACGACAAGTTTTATTCATTTAAAACCTTTTACTATATGAGAGTTGCAGAATATCACAAAAGCAATGTTTAGAAATGAACGTGTACTTGCCGGGCCATGTCTTATCTTCGTTAATGAGGTGGGTGTCTACAGAATGCCTGATAAAAAAAGACAGCATTTGTTAGTTTATAATTAAATGAATAACATCACTTTGGCATACGTTCACAAAGTGACAACCAGGAACTATAACAATCTATAAAAAGGATATGTTTCTAGTTAAATAGATTAAGCAATTAAACTGATGCTTCATCGTGCCATTCATAGTTTTAAAGGAAGTCGTCTCATTCACACAGTAAATCTGCTTGAGTAAATTCAAAATAGCGTTTATTTCCCTTTATTTTTTAAACACCATAGCTGCTATGCTTTTTAGCATTGAAGCGTGACGCGGATTTTATGGCATTGAACTTCGACTCTGCTCCACCGTATCTGCACAGTTTACCGGGATCGAAAAAAAAAAATTACCCAGGCATGACCCTAGAGGTACTGGACTTTCTATTGTGAATTTTTGGAGCGCTGCGTATTTAGCGTTTAAGCGGTGGTAGGAGAATGCTTCATCATCTGTGTATGCTGCGGCACCGCTCCCGACTACCAATATAAGATAAGCGCAGTCGGGACGCCGCATTTATCAATCAGCTGGCTGAGCAGACTGGTGGCTCAGAGCAAGGGTGGCCAGGATACCCCGGTCTAAGAGCCGCAAGCAAAACCACAACACCTCTAAAAGCCGCGGGGGAGGGGGGGGGGGGGGCGGGGAGGGGGTACTGTTATCCAGACTCTGGACAAAAGTATGCCCCTCCCTCAAGAGACATATGCAAAGAGTGATAAAAACTAACCAGTTTAATCAAGAGCCGCAGCAAAAAGGAGGCGAAGCAGGTATGCATATTTCATTCACCTCGGTTGCGAGCGCAGTGAATTACACTCATACGACATTTACTCATTGTGTGTCTGCGTTGGTCTTCCCCATTCGTGAAACAAGCCCCTTGAAGTTCGGCTCGAATGACGTCGGTTCGCTCCAGAGCAGCTCAGTCGGGTGGTCGTCCGTAAGGGTCACGCGCTGTTTTGACTTCACTGCCTTCATTGTTGAGAACGGAGCCTCGCAGCAGTATGTTGATCCATATATCGAGAGGACTTTCTTTCCCACGAGCTTGACGTGAGGAGACCTTGATTCTGGCACCTGCCACAAACTACTGCAATTTTCTGAGACTGCAGGAACGTTTTTAACCCTCCGCCTTCTTGCAGATTAAGCAGTTCTAGTTGTAAGGCTCCTACATCTCTTGCCAAGCTTTACATGGTTGGACAGTCGACAATCAACATATCAACCATAAAAGGGATACACCAGAAGCGCGAAACGGAGCTTGAATCGGTGAATATCTTTGAACCGAGACCGAAAGTCCCTCTCGAGTTCCTCAAGCTTTACGAAATAATCTCTGAGCTCAGCATCGGTCAGTTCAAACTGAGGTTTAGCATCCAGCATGCTCTTCAGTCACGGGAAGTGGATCAGGCGCTTTATTCTCAAGTCGTTTTGAAAAAGTATTTGCTTGGTTTTGAAGCTGAAGACTGCTTGGATAAATTTCAATACCACTTTTCTTTCCCTTTCAGCGACATGTTTGGTGTTTTAAGTTTTAAGGTGCTGAACTACAATAGTGACGCAACCGAGATCGACACACCAACCTGTGTCATGAAGTTCAGGACATGGCTTCTCTATCGCCTCCAGAAAAGCTTGAAATGGCTTCAGAAGATCCACAAACTTTGATAGTACGTTGCTCATCAACAGCCAACGTACCGAAAAAAAGAAAAAACGTTGTTGGTCGCTGTATAAAATTCCAGTTCTTTGAGAAAGTTGCGGAATTGGCGTTGGGCTTTTGCATGCGATAATTTGTAGTTGACGACTCGAAGGACGGAGTTTAAAACATCTTCGTAGCTGAAGTGCTTTGCCACCAGGTGCTCACGACGGATAATGCAATGAATTGGGAGAATATCTGGAAGGCTGGGGTCGCTCCGCTGAAGACCTACCAAGCCCGCATTCTTACCAACCATAGCAGACGCACCATCCGTAGCAGTTGCGACAAGTTTCTGCAGGGGAACGTCGAACTTCTCCAACGTTGTTAACAATATATTGTTAATGTCAACACCACGAGTGGTTTTCTTGAGGGTAACTATGTCCAGAAGCTCTTCTTTCACGCTTTCGTCGGATGAAGCATAACGAACGAAGATTGCAAGCTGTGGCTTGTCTTGTATATGCATAGATTCATCAAAGGATCATCTGAATGCTTTTTAGCTGTTTATCCCCTCCTGAAACTTGTCGATGACGTCGGCGCTTAGCTGTAAAATGCGCCTTTCGGCCGAATGTCGTGAAACTGTAACTTGGTTGACCAACCTTTCAAGATTCTTCTTTGTATGCAACAATGCCATGACGTTGGAGATGTTCGTCTTCACAAATTCTCCTTCCGAGTAAACTCGCTGGGTACGATCAATATTCCAGGCGATTGGAAAGCTTGGTTTAGCTGCTACGTCAGATTCCTTACTGAAGGCCTTGATGAAGAACTGCTGATTCTGAAGTTGTGATTTGAAGTGGGCCAGTTAGGCTTTTCTGAACTCAGATGAAGCTGGATGGTCCCGAGAAAAGGTTTCGTGATTGGTCTCATAATGCCATCAAAAATTGCTTGCCTTGTGGTGCGAAGGTCCGGCATTACAGATGAGGCAAAGTGGCTTACCGATTTTCTCTGTGAAAGCGAAATCTTCCTCCCACTCAGGAAGGAATGTCCGATGTTCATCTTCGTACTTGCCTTTCTTGTTGGACGTCATTGCGACGATAGCCGCCGAACCTCGTCACACATTCGCCAAGGGTGGTTAGACGTACGCAAAAATTAAATTCTTGTCTGAACAGAGCAGGTAGAATACCTTAGAGGCAGTTGAGGGAATGATGGCGGTACTCCAGTTTATCCCTGCAGGAAATGCTAATAGCCATTTAGCACTTTTTCTGTTGCGTCTGCACATGTCCTTTTTTCTAATTCAAGCACGACCATAATAGAGCAAACCTTTTGCCGTTCTATCCACGCGTTCCAGGAGCGCCTTCACGAACCGCTGCCTAGTTATCCCCCCCCCCCCCCCCCCCCCAAAAGCATACAAAACCAGCTCGCGGGTCATAACTGCAAGCCGGTAAAGATAACAATGAGAATTTTCCCGGTCCTTTGTAATCTTGAACATAACATATGTGACCAGTGGAAGCTATGAATGAGGTCAGCTCGAGCTTCCGCGACCTTCAACAAGAAACGACATGGAAGGAACATCCGTTTTCTAAACGGGACAAGTACCACCGGCGAGTGACAAAGACCTCAAACAGAGCATTTCCTCGACCTCAAGCCAAAGTGCATGTATGGCTTGGCTACCCCTGTTTTCGATTCCTTTTCCCCTAGGGTCCGGCAAACGCTCTCGAAAAATGAAAATGTGGAAACATACCACTCAAAAGCGGTTCGACTGTACGTAGGGGGGCACAAGGCTGCCAAACCGCAACCTGTGCTTTATTTTGAAATTCTTTGATTCTTTCCTGGGGAAGCACGGAAAGGGAGGGGGGGGGGGGGGGGGGAAGGTGAAGGTACCTTACGAGGGATCCGCCAGCCACACCTAGACAAGCAAAGAGCCGCATGCGGCTCGCGGCCGCGGTTGGCCACCCCTGGCTTAGAGAATTAAACCAAGGTTGCAAAAATGTTCCAAAGTCAGGATTCATAATAATAAAGCAAACTGCACCGACATGACGAAACAATATTAGCAATTAAACGTTTCGTCCCCAGAGCGGGAGACTTTATCACTGCGTGTTCAGGGACATGAATGAGAGGAGTACAGAAACCAGGGGGCTATATAAAGGGCCCATGAAACGAATTTTGGGTTGGGATAAATCGCTTTAGATTGGGATTTTAATAAGAGCACATCGTTCAGTGGGCCAAAAAAAAAGGTAGAAAGTCAAAAGCCTCACTTTCAGTGCGAAAATTTGAAAACACAGCTGACAATTTTGTACCTCTTCCCCTTCGTAAGCTCTCTGCCTTTGCACTGTAATACACCCGCGGTCCCGAAAGCGCGTCATCGGGTCCAAACGCACGTCATACGAAACCGGACCTCACTTATTCCCTTCACGCCTAAGCTGACATTGTGGTGGAAGCTACGCGCTTGCCGGACCAATCAGCCGCCTCTCTTTTATCCCCTGACCTCATTCTTTGCGCGTGGGTATGCTCGAAGGAGCGTGATCACGTGGCAATTCTGGCTGGCCCAACGAGCATGTAGCTTCCACAGCACTGTCAGGTTCGCGGTGAACGAGTTGGGAAACACGAATTTGTAAGAGCATAAAAAAACGGGCAAACGTCAAGCACGAAGCGCGTTCTTCGAGTTGAATATGCATGCATACGATTTCTTTATTGGGTGCGAATGTGGCCAATCCGTGGTGCTGCCCTATTTTAAGCCTGGCGTGTGCCTCTGCTGCAGGGAAAATGGAAACAAACTTTCCGACCTACAGTCGACCGGCCGCATTGCTACGAACGAGAAGCTCCCTCTCGTTTGCCTGAACATGACGTTGTTAAAACTATTGTACTTCGAGCGCCACGATACGAAGTCACTTTAATTAGCCACCTTTATTCACTGAGTCATTCATCTTAAAGTTCTGAGTCATCCTTCGCAATGTACTGAGTCATCATTTCAATTCGCTTAGTCATCAGCTTTATTCGCTTATCATCCACTTAATTCGGTTTAACTCCTCTTAATTCACTTTAGTTTCTCTGAACTCACTTTTATTCCTTCTAATTAGCTTTTTCGTTCGTAATTAACTTTGATTACTCTTACTTCTCTTTAATTCCTTTGAATTCACTTTATTTCTTCTAAATTCACTTTGTTTGCTCTTAATTCGCTGAGTTATCCTTCTTAATTTCATTGCCTCTAATCCGCCTGAGTGGTCATGTAAACGTTTTGGTACCTTTCGTGTCGCCGACGTGTTTTCGCTCAAAGACTTTGAAGGTCAACTGAACGATGAGACATATAAGGCTTTCGCCTTAATAAATTGTCGGCTTAAAGCCGTTCAAGTCCGAGGGTCAGGGCGAAGAGGCGGCTTTAAAGA